TGTAAATAGTGTTGCAATGAACATGAGTGTGCATGTATCTGTTCCTGTCCTGGCTTTCACCTCTCTAGGATATATACCTAGTAATGGGATTGCTGGGTCAAACAGTATCTCCAATTTCAATTTTCTAAGGAACCGCCACAGTGGTTGCTTCCACAGTGGTTGTGTCACTTCATAGTCCCACCAACAGTGTATGAGAGTCCCAATCTCTCCACATCCCCACCAGCATTTGTTATTTTCCATCTCGTTGAACCTTGCCGTCAGTGCTGGGGTGAGATGGTATATCTCACTGTTGTTTTGATTTGCATCTCTCTGATGGCCATTGATTGTGAGCACCTTTTCACGTATTAGTTGACCACCTGAATATCCTCCTTGGTGAAGTGTCTATTCATGTCTTCTGCCGATTTTTCAATTGGATTGTTAATTCTTTGGTGTTGAGGCGTTGGAGTTTTCCATCAATCTTAGAGATAAGTCTCTTGCCAGATATGTAATTATTGGCAAATATGAAATTATTGCTGGCATTTTGTAATGTGCTTTTTCATTGTGTCAATTTCTTTGTTCCATATAATTTTCTATGCTGAGCTCATTTTGTTTATGAATCATGTTATCACCTCCTTCATTGCTATTGTTTTAGTATTTGCTGAATATTTATACTGGTCCTCTTTTTTTATTTTGATGTGAAGGTTTATCATTTTTCTTTGAGGTTACTCTGTGATTTACAGTTTTTCTTCCCAAGTTTAGAACACTCTGTTCTATCTTGTAGTTGTCTTGACTTCCCTACCATCTAGAAGTTCTGTAACAACACAGATTTTTGGTTTGTAGTTGTCCTCATTTGTCGGTTGGTGTCTCTGGTTCCCTGTTTGCAATCTTGTAGCCTTATTTACTTTGGATACTTCCATAGCTGGGTTGATTTCTGGGTTATATCATCATATGTATTAATGGTCAGTTGTTGTTGGCTGTTGTTGCTTCTCTGTCCAAAGGGCTCCCTTTAGCATCTCTTGTAAGGTTGGTCTGGTTTTAACAAATTCCCTTAATTTCTGCTTATCTGGAAATGTTCTATCTCACCATCATATTTGAGGGACAATTTTGCTGGGCACATAATTCTTGGTTGGAAATTTTTCTCTTTCAGTGTTTCATATATACCATCCCACTGTCTTCTAGCCTGCATGGTTTCTGTTGAGAAATCCGAGCTTAGTCTTATTGGTTGCCCCTTGTAGATAACTTTTAATTTTTCCCATGCTGCTCTCATGATTCTTTCCTTGTCTTTGGTTTTGGTGAGTTTGATGATGGTATGTCTTGGTGTTTTTCTTTTGGGGTCTATTCTGTTTGGGGTTTGTTGGACTTCCTGAATGGATATATTCTCCTCTTTAATCATATCAGGGAAGTTCTCCTCCAACAAATCTTGGATAATTTTCTCAATGGTTTTACTTTTCTCTTCCTGTTCCGGAATTCCAATGACAC